AGTAACAGGATTACTTTTTGGGGGAAGTAATCAGTAATTAGTTACTAATTACTTTTTTCAAGTAACTTGACCAACACTGCCAACAAAGATACAGAAGAAGAAGACAGCGTTCAAACAGGAAGGCCTGCGAGAGCTCTGAAGGTCACAGAGAGCCTGAGTGAAGCTTTTCTCACAGATGGTGTCACGTCGGTGGAGCGACACAAACAGCAGGAAAACAAAGAGAAGCTGACAGAAGATCAATAACACAGAGATAACAGAGATAACAGAGATAACAGAGATAACATAGAGCAGCGACACATGAATGTTTGCAGTCAGCAGCTCAGCTCCACCCTGAGTGGCAGAGAGAGAGAACGACTGAGCGGAGCTCACTCGCCCATCTGCGCTTGTCATTAGCAGAGTTCATTATCAGGAGGAAAAACTGTTTCCTGTTTGTCACGCTGAACCAACGCAGCCAAATAACACAGAAGCCTCCCCTCGGTCGGAGCTGCTAACTCACTTTCTAAAGTTCAAAGTTCAAACTCTGACTTTCAACAGCTGCACTCGGCTGCTGGATCACATGACCTGATGCAACATCAGCTCTACCAACAGAGCAGAGCTGTGAGGAGGAAGTCCTGAGACCTCACAGCTCAATACCAGCTCTGTGATTCTGTCAGCAGGTCAGCCCTCACTACCTGTGAGCAGCTTGTTTTACACAAAGCCTGCAAATATTTCACTAAATATGGAGAACATGATCCAAACGGCAGATATTTCCACCGAGTAGAAATGTTTTCACAGTCTGACCCCGCCCACCCCACCATGACCTCATCAATTCAAATCCAAACATTTCCCGGAGTGGTCTGTAAATAAGCTTCAAGTCTTTTCTCACTGTACGTGTGTGTGTTCATGTGAAACTTTGATTTTGCTGTTTCTGTGTAGCCTGAAAGCATTTGTGGTGATGAACGTGTGTTTGAACAGACAGGTGAGCTGCAGCGTTTACAGCCAGCCTGCACTCAGAGACAGGAATCAGCTGCTCACTGCGATCACGCAGACTTCTTCTCACAGTGAAAACCTTTATGAACAGTCAGAGAGTTAGCACTCATCCCAGACCTGCTGCAGGAAGACGGCTGCTACCATCGGTCATATTTAAAGTCAGTTTGCATTTAATGTGAGGAACGAGATGAGTGAGGCTCAGACACAATGAGACGCCAGCCTGAGACAGGAAGCAGCAGAAGATAAGAAGAGATCAGATCAGGCATCAGGCTGTGAAATCAGAGCTGCAGGTGAGTTCACGGTGCTCTGAAACTTCCCAGCAAACTCCGGTCGGTCTGAGGTCGGCTGTTTAATCAGAGGAGATTCCTTCACGTCAGTCGACCGTTTCACAAACATCCTCTACAACTAAGCAGCAGCAGGCCGAGCTTCTGTTTCCCACATTCACACTGTAATATCACACACTGTGCAGCAGCATCAGCACTGCATCTCCACTGAGACACAGAGGCGTGAAACATCAAGCAAACACCAGACATACATCAACATCCCAAGAACGTCCCAATGACATCCCAACAACGTCCTGACAATATCCCAACAACATCCCAACTACGTCCCAACAACATCCCAACTACGTCCCAACAACATCCCAAACACGTCCCAACAACATCCCAAAAATGTCCCAACAACATCCCAACTACGTCCCAACAACATCCCAAACACGTCCCAACAACATCCAAACAACTTCGCAACAACATCCCAACAACATCCCAA